TTGGTAAACAATCAATTAATAAAATCAACTAATATATATCTTGTATAGTCTTAAATTTATTAATTTTTATTTTCACTATACTATTTCACGTTTTTATTATAATTTAATTATTTTTTAGTCATAAAAAAAATATGGTTTATGGTGTATTAAATGAAAAATTTAAGTTTAAATGTCTTAAATTTTTTTTTTGCATATATAGACACTCTAAATGGAGAGAAAAATATAATAGATTTTGGTTAGTACGTCCATGCTGATGACATTGGTGATGAATGATCAACTCTCTTTTTTTCGTCACACTTTCATATTTTGAAGAGGGATTCTGTTTATTTATCAATATTTCACGTTTAAAAATTGATTCCGATAATAATTGCATGGACAATTATGACCAAACGACCAAATTCTTTTGAGAAACTTGGAATTTTTTAATTAAAATGAACAAGGCCTTATTTTAATATATTGGATGTTCATAATAATCTCTATAGTTTTTTTTTTCTTTTTCGAATGATTCGAAATCTCATTAACCATTTCGTTGACTTGATAGCAAAGTAAATGGTTTGCTCCCAACAAGAGTGGTTGGAGATTTTCAATTAAATCCCATTTAAAAGTATAAATATATAAATATAAAATTTTACAACACCAGAACATTAAAATATATGTTCTGCTGACCAATCCACCTAGCGTGTCTACACCCGTACATATGTCTGTCTACACACAGTGTGATATGATTCGTTTTGTGAGTGTAAAAAAAATCCAAATATACATATCATCTACACACATTGGCAGCCCATGGTACTGTAATATTAAACCCGCAACCCATATAGGCAAATCCGGTGGCTTCTAGAACGTCGGTAATGGCCTGGATCATCGGCCCACGGAGCGGCCCGATGTTTGGTTCATTTCTGCACGTGCTTCACTTCTGAGGCAGTTTGACGTGTCTTCAGTGTTTCAAGTGTATCTTCTAAAATACAGCTCCAAATGGTGTCGTTCAAACTTCATTCGCAAGCTAACTCAAAGGGCTATCTTCCAACCAAGTTTCATTAGATTCTAAGTTGATTTGGTTCTCCGTTTATCAGTGAATTTCTGGCATATACGTTCTGTCCAACTTGAGAATATGCTTTATCTTCAAGATATAA